ATATATATATAACCGAAAATTGGGGTGCTTGCGTTAATGGGGCGAGATGGCTCAGTGGTTAGAGCGCGAATTTACCGACCGGAAAGTCCGTTGTTCGAACCCGACCTTTGCCTTTCGAATTCCCCTGCCTCAGCCGCTGGTATCTCAGCCGAATTATCCTAGCTCATATGCTGTAGATGTAAGGTGCACCGGATCCCCAGAAACTAACATTCCCTCAAACATTATACTCACTTGAGGATAGTAACAACACTCTGCAATTATTCGTCAAGGGCTCGAGATAGCTCAGTGGTTAAGGCGCGAACTTACTGCCCGGAAGGTCTGTCTTTCTAACCCAAACTCCGTACCTCAACTGCTTCTGCCTAGACTTGGGTTACCTGGCTTCATCTCGTCCTTTGTGCTTCCTTCGAGTGGCGTGATAGGCACCAATAAGGTGTTACGGCTAAACGATTATTATTCTTATTATCGTATTAGTTAATCACCAAAGGTTATCCATCTCATGATACCATCCGAATTTGAAACACCGCGACGAGGTAACGTTCCCGATCACGCTGACTTTTGGGCGCTGGCCGTAGCCAATGAGCAACGTCGAATGCACTTGCCATCTTACTCACTAACTGCGCTGTGCTGCTCATGTTATTGTTGACTTTTTATCGGGCTATCGTGTCTATTCTTGGCTATACAATGTTAAGTCATGCGGGGATTGCTGAGTAGGAATACGAGCCTTCCCTAGAAGTAGCCAAAATTGAGTCACAGAGTGGGTAGAAATATCCACGTACCATCGGTGAATCGAAAGTAACCGATAGACCCAGTGCTGTCAATGGGTTCGTGTACTCCATTTGTTTTGTTTTGTGTATTGTTTTGCTTCCGCCTCGCTTTCTTTTCTAATTCTATGTTTCCCCATTCGCTTTGGCCCGCAGGAAGACTATCACTCCCCGTCACATCATGCTCGGTGTGCGCAATGATGCTGAGTTGAATGAGCTGTTGAAACACGTGCATATCAGTCACGGTGGAGTGCTTCCATGCATCCATCCCACCCTCTTGAAGCGCAAAGGAGGGCTGCTAGGCTCACCTGGACCAGCAGGCGGATCAACCGTACCCAACGCTGTTGTGTCCGCAAGACAGGCTGCTTCCGGGGTCGGTTCCGGGGTGGTGGGCAGCTCATAAGCATAACCACAACCTACTTGAACCGCAGTTCGTTTCCGCTCGGCAGCTGTCCTGGTACATAAAACAGTCTTTTGCGATCTTGCTCCTGGTTCAGTGTATATTTTCATGTTTTTTATTCCTTATCTAACTGTGCCGAACTCACCCGAATCTTTCCTGTACCATTACGGTTATTGCTACTGTTAGGTCTAGTTGAATATTGATCTTATTTCCCCTCTGCTGTTACCCTATTCCACTCTGTACGAACGGACGCTTGCTTCAATCGGACGCACGCATCACCATGTTGCGCATTCTCTACGCGATCGCATTTACGTCCAAGCTAGTGAGAAACGTTTTCACATATTCTACTCCATGAAGCTATCTTCAGCGACCAATATTTTCTAAACCTCGTACATACATTTGGCGTTTTCACCTATTCAAACTGTTCAGGGACCCCTTGTTTAGCGTGTATTCTAATCCCCCGTACAGACGTCACTATTCCGATCGGACCGGATCAGACTGGGCGTTGTTTTCCTGTTTTTCTATCCTGTTGTTGTGCCAGCTTTGTTTGTCACTTGTCATGTGTGTGCGCGTGTCGGCCTCATCTGTTCTGCCAACTTCTCTATTTGAACCCACACACACACCTGCCCTCGCTTCTGATATTTCACGCTCCAGCCGTTGTACGCATGTTTCTTTTTGTACACCATATTTACCCTAGCTATTTGACACATATGGTACATGTTCTATCCTACTTGTTCGTATTCCCCTGCCTTGAGCCGACAGAATCTATGGGTTGGGTTTGATGCTCTACGAGCGATGGCAATTTCACAAAGGTTGTCCGCCATGAGTCTGAGGCGTCTTCAGGTTTTTGAACAGCAATATCTCAGTGTCACTTGTGTCGGATGGCTCCAGGAAACTTGTAACGGAGTAATGGAGAACGGGTATACCGGTTGTGCAGCGGGTACTTCCGTCGCAAAAACACCTAGCACCATAAACTATGGTGGCTCGGTCATGTGCTACGGATGCTGACACATCGTATACCGGGACGGGTGCTGTTCTCCTTGACTCCTTCAAAAACTGAGGTAGACAACAACTCAGCATTTAGTTTTGTACTTCAGAGATTTTTTTGGTTTTGAGTACCGGTCGTTCTGCGAAAATGTATTTCCTAAGTACTTTAGTTTCTATTGGGGACGGTCGGAAGTGTATATCTTGATTGTTCTCAGTCAGACGTCTAATTAGGTCAGGTTTCTGTTCCAGAAGTACAAATCTGTCGAAGTGAATGCACTGATCTGTCCAAGTTTACATTCTGTGGACTTTGCGCCCTACGTTTCGGTTGCTCTTTTTTCAATGCTGACATCGAAGAAACTTATTTCTTCTGCTCTGTTCAACAGAAACAGTGAATTCAAACTACTCAGCAAGTTTCTTGTAATAATAGCTTCGTTGGCAAGTTCAAAGACATCGTCCGCGGAGCGACAGTTGAGTGTAAACTGTGCAACAAGTGTGCTTGGTTTTTTAGTCTCAGGTTTGCTCATAACAAGATCTGTCAGGAACAGAGAGGACCTCAGTCTTCTGACGATTGATTTGATAGCTGAAATGGAATTGGAAGTTGTGGTTACAAAGTAGTAATAGTGCCTTGAGGTCCGGGAGAGGAAAGCCAATACCGTGGCCATTGTACTCAGTCGAGTCACAAATCTGTTTTATTGTGAGTGTGGTACGTTAGTAAACAAAACTGGACGTCCAGGGTGTAACTATCGACCTCGGAACTATCAGGCTGTGTTGGTACTTCTCTCGTGATTGGCTCAACTAGGCCATCTAGCTAGAGCTTGATAAGGAGAATGAGACATGTTGAGGACGACCTGAAGGGTAGACCGGGTTTATGCATTTTCGCGGGACCATGGAACCATTCTTGACAATATGCAGTGGCAGTGCGAAGCTATCAGCTGTATGACGTGATCCGATGTGAGTAATAGGGGATATTTCGTGTTGAACTTATTTTCCGTGTCCCCTTCGGTGTAATACAAGTGAAGAATTGATCACCCTTTGAAAGAGCTAACGAGAAGCCTGTCGGTTAGACTCACCTTCGTGGGTTGGGGTCCGCGCGATTCCCCCTGTGCGGGTTGGAGATGCTGCAATGTATGGCTACTAATTGGCGTCAATGGTATTCTTGTCAGTTTATATCCACATTGTCCGAAGGACTGCCTGGAGGTGTAGGTATCTAGGAATGATTGTGTTAGATCAGTGCTACTTCCCTTCCCCGTCTACTTTCGCTCTTCACAATCAGGCTTATGGCTGTGTGCCAGGGAAGCGTCAGTGTTGAACTCCGATGTTATGCTGCCGATGATAATGTGTAACAGGTCGTGTGCACACTAACTGACCCATGACTTCAGTGGGCGGCGTAAAATCCACAAGTTTAATGACGATTTAGACAAAATGAAAACGGACGACAAACATCTGAGGCGTGACGGCCTGAATGCGTCTTATGTTCATGGCTGATGTCGATCTACCTACCGGTTTCGGCATCCGAAGCTGGACTGTCGCGTCCATCTAAGCTGTCTCACCCGAAACTTGTGGAGACAGTTTCAGCTGATTAAGACAAATTTGGGCCACGTGACCTGGTTGTCTGCAATTTGAAGACGAAATCGCCGTGTCAGATGGTTAAACTAGTTCTTGCAGAGTTTACTGTACAGAGTCGGGTTCCGTCAGTGCCACTTTCACAGATAGCTTCTGTCCGGTTGATTTCTCTTACCCGCCATGCTTTTTTAATCTTAAAATCAGAACGAACGTACAGTCTAGTATGGATTGTTTGACCAAAGAACAACTTCGCAGATGACATTTCGGTAGGCAAACAAGAATACTTTCAGTTGAGTCTGATTTGCTATGGATTTCCACCTCAGGGGGCTTTTTCTCCCCTCCGGACTGTTCGACGCCGGATGCTAAGGCATCGACTGTACGTACTGGGCGCTATTTTGAAAGACAAGTTCTCAAAAAACCCCGATGACAATGAAATGGCATCTACGCACATGCTTTCCATGACCACAGTATGCGCAAATAGCTTCCTTTTTTCACTGATTGTTGTCTTCGCATTAGCTTGGGCAGCCGAGTAGACTGCACTTCATTTGGAATGGGCATCAACAGCAGAAGTATCACCTATGTTTTACTGGACGAAAGTAATCCACCTAACATTTCTTGTGCGCAGTCAAAGAGCTCAGAAGTTGTTCCAACACAGGCTGTAAAGAGGTACAAAAGTTTCTTCAACCAATCAATCCCTTGAGGAAACGTCTTGGCAAAACTACGATTTTCTACTTCGATTAGCGACTATCGCCCTCCCCGAGAAACGCCTTATTGACCGGTGTTCATAACAGTCATAGTTATTGATCAGGATGAGCTCAGAATTCAGACGTCTCGTGTGCGTTTGTAAAGGGTTAGGGCTACAGTGAAACCACAGTACAAAGTGGATTCTTACTAGTGAAGGCAAAGGTTCTTTCGGATTAATCACCAACAGAATATCGGCCTGAGTGAGCGGAATCTATTTTTTTCTAAATCAGTTTAGGATGCTGGTGAAATACACTCATTTGCAAACAAATTTGGCTTTGCGGGAGGCTCACCTGGAACCCCACTGAATCTCTCGTTTAAGATGAGCCCCAAGGAGGGCGAAACCGGTCGTGGGCTGACGAAGAATTTTTCAGCAACCTAATGAGTAGTGCATCACGTCTATACAGTTTAGGGTGTATTAACGTACTGGTACTGGGTTACGGGTGGCTATTTTGCCAAGGCTAAATCCAATATTTTTGGCAAGAACAGTTTTAACATGTGTTCCGTTGGCTTAAATGACAACTAACTGGTCTGTTCTAGAGACAGATTGGTCCGTTGTTGAACCATTCCTGCGATGAACTGACTCATAAGTTGGTCTGAGGTTTGATGCCCCGCACCCCATGGCGATAAGTTGACCCGCAGTGAAGTGGTACCCTATCACCTTGTACTGGGAAGTGCGCTCGAATTTATCGACCGCCCGGCAGGATTTCAAGGACAAGCAATCGTCGCCGCAATCCAGGCGACCGGCCAATCCTGTACTTTTTCTGAACACTCCTGAGTGCACGTATGGGTCATTGCAGTTCAGCACTGCACACGCTGTGATGTGATTGCATTCTCAACCGACCATACACTGGGATTCATATAGAATTTACTCTACCACCACGGATAATAGGAGACTGCAAACGCCAAGACTGTTCACCCACAGGCTTTATCAGTGCAAACCAGAATGCGGCCTGTAGCTAAAATCTTGCGGTCCTCATCTCGAGATCCCCTCACTTGCACCATATTCGCCGTGTGAATTTTGTTCAGGCTGAACATCAGTTAGCAGATCAGTTTGAGATTTGCCCTGCTTCAGTTACATTTATTTTTCTATTGACTTGCATTCACTTCAACCTAATCGGTCAACAACTTGTTAGGATCAAATTGTTCATCTTGGTTTCTTTGCCCACTTACGTACGCAACCCTGGCGGTCTATAGGAGTATACACATGGATCCAATGACACCGTTCCAGAAAAATTTCAGTGCAACGTGAAAACAGCGGCCGCAGCAAGCGACTCAAGTAGGGCGAGGGTGTTGCCTCCATTCAGAGGTCGCAAAGGAGTCGAAATCAGCTGACCTAGTGCGCTGCGGCTGAACCAAGGTGAAAAACATCTGGTGAACGATGCCAGAATACCGTGTAACCTCGGACTCTGTGGGCGATACCAGCGTTTGCGACACCCATTGTAACCCTCTGTCGATTTTCAGTTTGTGCCGCATGCGATGCAGACACTGTTCTAAAAATTACAGTAACCTGACCTAATCGCTGTTCGAGATCGCCGTGCAACTGTAATAGACGTCAGCATGGTCACGGATGGGCACTGAGTGACTGTGTGGAATGAGAACAGGCAGAAGTATGGTGCTGATGAATATTCCCTCGCCATAATCTTAGCCCCACATGCAATCGGCTGTGATGTCGACTTTTTGGTTCACCAACCGATGATCATCTCTTATCGAGGGATCTTCCTTCCTCAATCCACCAAGGACTGGAACTTCCTGAGGTCGCGGTCAGTGACTTGTGTTTGCTTGCCATTGTGGGCTCTCCGCGTACTTATGACACTTTTATGCGTGGCACATGGCGTTAAAATGTACATTTTTGCCACTTAATCTCACACCAGACCCAGTATGACGGACACTTTGTGTCTGATGTGCGAGTCTTGACTGTGCTAGCGCCTATCGCGCCTTGAAGAGCATTCAACATTGTTTGCCCTTTCTTCGGTTGTTAGTCTTTAGACGCGTGTTTCCATATCAAAATCTTTACATGCTTTGGGATTCACTCCATCAGACTGGAACTGTTGTTGGCATGATTTCGAATGAGACGTTTCTCTCTTTTCTCCCATATTCTCCTGTTACTCTTCCGCATGCATCGCTTGCATTCACTGTTTATGTTTGTGACCATGCCCTTCAAAAATAAATGATAGTGGACGGATGGCCTTTCTAAAACACTAAGCAGATGAAACATCATGCTTTGAATGTGGGGAATCCACCGGCGGACACTGGCGAATTATTAAGGTGTTGGAATTAGCAATGGCTTCTTAGTGGTAACTCGCTTTTAAAAAATCATATTTGTACATTTTCGTTTCAACTGGCAAGATTCACTTCACTTCTTGTGTTGTACCTTGCTGGGTCGCCAATCTGTTGTATCTGACTGCTGTCCCCGCTCCAGGGTGTGGTGCCGAAAAAAT